CACCTCTGAGGATATTCACCTAGACCGCGCTTCCGATGACTTTCCTGTGCAGCTACTTTTCTACTTTATTTGTGGAACAGATTTGCAGGTTATTAACTTATTCACTGAATTTTGCTCTGTTTCTTGTCCTGAATTATTTTGATGCTCAAACTATACCAGGTCTGGTCAGTGGGCAGTAAGCATGCTTTCAAGCTAACTTTTGATGGGTTCCCAAAGTTCTTCCCGGATCCAGCTCCAGGTGAGTCATTTCTCCAAGAAGCCCTGGCACACCCTACTGAAAAACAGCATTTAGAATCTAAGTTCTCAGTGGATAGACTGATATTTCAATTTTTTAAAAAAGAAAAGATATTCCTCATACAGCATTGTCTTTAGATCAGGCCTTCTGGATTCTGCTCAGGGACTACATTCATGTGAGCTCAAAACAAAAAGGGCATCTGAAACTTCTAAGCAAGCACCCTGACATGGCAGCCTATCTGACTCCTGCACAAGCTTAGTTCACGCACCAGATATTGGGGATTGACCAGCCACGAGTAGACTGACCCTTGAGGGCCACTTTCTCTGAAGGGGGCTCAACTCTGACAAGATAATAAAATACTCTTCAAACCCCTCAGAAGGGTATTTGTGCTCTGTCTACAACCAAACTCTGAGGGCAGGAATGTTGATTTCTAGTCCTGACTCAGTAAGCTGAAGTTGCACTTGGCTTAGGCTAGCCCTCCCCAYACACGCGGACAGACAACCCATCAGGCTAAAACAGGAAGCTCACCTATCAAAAGCATCAAGAGCATCCTATGTTTTTCTTCTTGCTAAGGCTAAACCCAGAGGTGTGCTACCACTGAGTCACATCCCTAGCAGCCCCCAACCCTTGTAGGAGACAGGGTCTCACTAAATTGCAGGCTAACCTCCAGCTTGCAATTCTCCTGTCTTGGCTGGGATTACAGATGTGCACCACCATGCCACTAGCAGTGTTCTTTTTACTAACAAAGAATTTACCATCAGAAAATTCTACATACTGGGCTGGGGATGTGGCTCAAGCGGTAGCGCGCTTGCCTGGCATGCGTGCGGCCCGGGTTCGATCCTCAGCACCACATACCAACAAAGATGTTGTGTCCGCCGAGAACTAAAAAATAAATATTAAAAAAAAAAAAAAAATTCTCTCTAAAAAAAAAAAAAAAAAAAAAAGATTCTCTCTCTCTCCCAAAACAAAAAAAAAAAAAGAAAGAAAATTCTACATACAAAAACAAAGCAGAAAAACTGATGAGCTAAAAATCTAAAAGTACAAATCTAACATACAAAAAGAAAAGAAAAAAGAAAGAAACTCCTAGCCTGTGAGTAGCAGTGCTTTCCTAGAGAGGCTAGAAAGGCATGGACATAAACTGACAGGTAAAGAGCTAGCCCAGAGGATTCCCAGCCATCACTCCCTGATAGTCAAGAAGTCTGTTAACACTGCCACTAGGGTTACAGATTACCTTCATGATAATGAAATAAGACAAGACCAAGCATATTAAAGAAGGAACATGGATCAGGCATGGTGGTCCATGTCTGCAATCCTAGCAACTCAGGAGGCTGAGGCAGGAGGATCACAAGTTCAAAGCAAACCTCAGCAACTTAGTGAGGCCCTAAGCAACTCTACCAAAAATAAAAAGGCAGGGCTAGGGATAGAGCTCAGTTGGTACAGTGCTTGCCTCACATGCACAAGGCTCTGGGTTCAATCCCCAGAACCACCAAAAAATAAAAATAATAAATAAAAAGGGCTGGATGTGTGGCTTAGTGCTTAAACATCTCTGGTTCAATCACTGGTGAAAGAAATGGATGGTGGGGAGGAATGGAGGAAGGAAGGAAGACAGGCAAAATGGACAGGATTCCCTGTAGCAGATGTGTGCCAATGGCCAGAACTGCCATCACCACCCCCCAGGTAACAAGACAGGAGCACTTCTGCTGATGAATACATTCATCGCTGCAGAAACCCTCCCCTTTATAAACAAAGACAGAACATGTTCTTGGAAGAAAGAAGAAAGAGACTAAAGCTATTYGCATACAAGCTTCCTGGAATCATTTCTCTCAGAAGTACAGGCTCTGTGTTGAATCACGAATCTTCTTTCCAAAGAACAATTCACCGTATTCAGAGGTTTTCCTTTTTTAATTAAAAAAAAAAAAAAAGGGCTGGGATTGTGGCTCAGTGGTAGAGCACTCACCTAGTATGTGCGAGGCCATGGGTTTGATCCTCAGAACCACATAAAAATAAAGATATTGTATCCAACTAGAACTAAAAATAAATAAATAAATATTTAAAGAGTGTGTATGTATATATTGGCATTGAGGAGTGAACCCAGAAGCTTAACGACTGAGCCACATCTTTATATATTTTATTCTGAGACAGGGTCTTGCTAAGTTGCTCAGGGTCTCTCTAAATGACTGAGGCTGAATTTGAACTTGCAATGCTCCCACCTCAGCCTCCAAAGGTGCTGGGATTACAGGCATGCACCACTGTGCTCTTTGTTCACAGGCTTTTAGGGCATGATTTTTTTTAAAAAACCTCCAAGGAGAATTGTTGAGAGCCACAGCCGAAGGGGCCCCAGCAAAGTTCTAGCTGCCAACTGATTGGCTCCTCTGCGGTGATGCTCATTGGGCTGTTTCCCCGCCCTTTCAGACCACGGAGCTGCTCATTGGGGGACTTTTTTGGCTCCGCCCATGCGACCCAGCCAATTGGCCTCAAGAGCAGGAGGAGTGGGGGAGGTTGAGAGGCTTGTGGGAATCGGTGGTGGCAGTTGGGCTCTAAGGGTTTTTCCTGAGGAGCTGTGTGGTGTGGTGTGTGTGTTCTAAAAATAAAGTTCCTTTCTTTTGACAAGTGGCTCCTGAATTGTGCCCAGCCAGACTGCGGCAGAGAATCAGGAAAAATGTTTGACTATTATGTACTAAAGTAAAAGGAATCTCATTTAATGTATATACACGTATGTGTATGTTTAAAATTTTTTGTTTGTATATGTGTGAATGAACAGACTGGGTTTCTAAGATACATACATGTTTGAGGTAAAGGGATATGATGGGAAAAACTTGAACCAGGAGTTAGGATATCTAAGTTTTGATATACCAATTCATTATACGACCTTGTTAAATTAGTCTTMAGGGACTTTCATAATGCCATTTGTAAAAAGAGGCAATTTGAGCAAATGATTTTATGACTTTTTTTTCCACTATTTTGTCTATTGTAATTAATACATGCCATTTCACTATATGTCATAAATTTATAAAGTTAACGAGACTTTCCCACAGCAGGAAACAGAATTTAAGTTAAAAAGGAGGAAATGGCTTTGGTTGATGCCCTTGAACTTCTTAACACCAGATTATTCCAAAAGAAAAACAACCTACATTTTAAAATAGCTAACACATATTGGAGACTTAGTGTGTCAGGCTCTGTGCTAAGCTCTTACACATCGACTCACTTAATCCTCATCACATGCTCTGATAAGTATTATTTGTCCCTCAGTACAATTAGGGCTCAGAGAGATTAGTCTGCCTAAGGTCACACAGCTAGAACTTGGCAAAGCCAGATGAACACCAAGAGTGACTCCAAAGCCCACGCTTTTAACCACCYGACTACACCTTCTGCAAATAAATAAATAAGCCATGAGCCAGACACACTCTTACTAACCTGTAGCAGGTACTGATTATTTCCCTTCTTACCAACTAGAGAGAAAATTGCTACAACTGGCAGCCAACCAGGAAATAACTCCATGTTAATCATGTGAACAAAAAGATTAAAGGTGCACATTTCTTTGTGGGTATTTATTGCTGTTTGAGACAGGACCTGCTGTTGCAGAGACCTTGAACTTGCATCCACCTGCCTCAGCCTCAGCAAGATCTGCATTTCTGGCTACAGGCCACCTTTCCCTTTGATAAAGAAAGCAGCAACACCCCTCACATCTGGAAGGCCAGCAAAGGCCCTAGGGGTGCTATTCTTTCATCACCCTACCTTTAGGAAGACCAAGTACTCGGGGTGGCACTGGGGAACCAAGAGGGAGTGCTGAGAGAACAACTCCTCTGCAAGCCTCAGTGCTGATTCCTGGTCTCTCACCATTTCAAATGTACTGGGACCTCGATCACTCACATCCAGGGTTCAAGACTGGGCCCTAGCAACAGACTCTCCTGTTTCACACTAGGCCACTTCAACTAGTCTACTCCCTGGCAGAACAAATGTGATTTTAGTATCATCCTCCTGTTGGTTAGACAGCGTAAGAAGTAGGATAGGCCGGGGCAGTGATGCACACGTGTAATCCCAGTAGCTCGGGAGGCTGAGGCAGGAGGATCTCAAGTTCAAAGCCAGCCTCAGCAAATTAGTGAGATCTTGTCTCTAAATAAAAAATAAAAAGGGCTAGGGATGTGGCTCAATGGTTAAGTACCCATGGGTTTAATCCCTAGTGTCAAAAAGGAAAAAAAGTAAGATGAATATAGACATCTATATATAAATCAATACACGAGAAAACACCTGACATGCGTTACTTTCATGTACYCTAAGGGCCAAAAGTGAGCCTTTTCCTATTTGTTCCTCATGTCTTTCCTTGACATATAAGCTATCCCTCAGAGAAGCTCTTGGAGAGAGCCCCTCTCAGATGAATTCGGAGCCTTAAAACAGCCATTTCTAATAAGCTATGGACACCAAGGCATGATATCAAGGAAAACAAACAAGGATCCAACAAATAAAGACACAGAAAGTGTTAACTACCTAAGAGACGTCCCCTGGAGGGAGAGGGTTTTACAAACAGAACTCCACATTTCAACCCCTGTTCTCCTGCGGCATAAAGAAGTGTCTCTGAACACTGYGTCCTCTGGGCAGAGAAAGAACTACTTTCACATACAGTCTGACCCTCAAATGTAACTTTGGTTTCAAATCTGGGCTCGGATTCTCAAAAGCTTATAAAAAACAGAAAGCTGAGCCCACACGCATCACAGATCCACTCTGCATCTCCCTCAGATACAGAAGAAAGAAAGCATCAGAAAATTACCCTTTTTTGATCCAACTCTGGAAGAAGCACTGAAGAATTTCTTCACTGTGGTAACCTTGCGGGTCTTCTCATTGGTCTTCTTCTCTTCAAATTTGGAAAACGTGAGGGACGGGGCCCCCTGGCTGCTCTGACTGCTGGCAAAGGCCTCTTCCTCCTCCCGCTGGAGTCTGAAATTCAAGAGAGGGTTACAGATGTTGTATTCTCCAATTTTCCTCATATCTRTAGGTCATCACTCAACTAATCAAGGAGGATCCAGACACTTTGTAACACAGGCTACACACACWGTCCTTCTGAGGTCTCCGGTGGAAGGCTACAGCACAAAACTGTTCTATACACGTCTACAAACTCCAGATGGGACCTCCTCTCTGGGTGGTGTTCATTCAGCAACTGCATTAGGGTCCCGTGAAACAAAGCCTGGTCCTTTCCCCTAATGAGTTCAAGACTGGAACAGAGGAAGAAGTAAGTGCATCACTGCCATGGAATGGGACGCTTCCTAAACTAGAGCGAAGCTGCAAGGGCCACAAGAACCCAAGACAGGACAACTAAAGACACTGCAGGCATCTGAGGAGGCTAAACCATGGGACATTTGGGGCAGGTTCTAAAGGATGAGAGGAGGCCATGGAGGACACTCCGAGAGGCCCATGTGGCTTGTTTCAGAGTGAGTTCAGAAGGGTATTTTCTGGGTTCATTATGTGGCAGAGAACCGTGAAAGACTATAAACCCCAAAGTTATTATCAGTTATTATCAGAAAGAAATGCAGGTACCCCAGTTTAACTTGAGAGGTAGAGAAATTAGAGACAGAGACAATATATTAAGAGGGTATTACAGCTGGCCATGGTGCTGCATGTCTATAATATCAGCAACCTGGGAGGCTCAGGCAGGAGAAGCAAGAGGATCACAAGTTGAGGTCAGTCTGCCAACTTAGCAAGACCCTGTCTCATAATAAAAATAAAGAGAGCTAGGCCTGTAGCTCAGTGGTAAAGTGCCCCTGGATTCAGTCTCAAGTGAGGCCTCTTCCTCAAAAAAKCCAGGTGTGGTGGCAACACATCTAGAATCACAGTTACTCAGGAGGCAAGAGGGTCACAAGTTTGAGGCTATGTTGGGCGAGAACCCGTCTCAAAAAAAATTATGAATATGTCAAAAGGAACCCATAAAAACATTAGAAAAAAACATATTACAAAGGTTTAAGTGAAAGAAAATAAAGGTCTGGAAAATAGGAGTTCAAAAGATAAAATTCGAAAAAGACTTTTCTGGGCTAGAGCATATAGAACCTGTTCAAGCAGCTGTAGGCGGAGAGGTCAAGCAGCTGCAGGAAAGGTCAAGGAGGACTTCTGAGCTGCCTGGATAAGGATCCACCCAGGAAGGTCGGGAGGAGCTAGAGAGGGAAGAGAAGAGCAACGGCTCTGGCGAGGGGTCAGCTGCATCTGAAGACCTCTGTGCTGCAGGACAGTGGTTCTCAGTGTAGGTCCCCAGACAGCGGTGTCAGTGTCACCAGAACCCTGGAGACTGGCACTTTCCAGTGCCCTCCTCCTGTCATCAGTCTCCAGAGGGGTCTGACCAGCACTGCCTCCTCTAGCCCTCTCGAAGACCCTGACGCCAGTGTAAGTCTGGGGAACATAGCTCAGGAAATCTCAAGCCAGGTCACAACTGCGTGCAGTCAAGAAACAGAAATGGCAGTCACAGGTGGAAGGTGTCCTAGGACAGAAGAGGAACTCATCTTTTTCTGAGACAGAAGCCAACTTAAAGACATTAGTATGTTTTGAGGTAGAAAGGGGGAAATCTGGGGAGATTCATGCCCAGTGGCCTCTACTTTCCCTGTGAAATGGGATCAGATCCCAAGAGCTCTAGTTCAGCAGGAAGCCCAAAGTGACCATGAATGTTCTGCATCTCTGCTTTTTCTCTGACCACAGCCACTGGGAGCAGGAGGTGCTGTATTCTTCTTGTTCACCAGAAGCCGATATCGCAGCTGCTTAATAAGACTGGTTGTCAGTTTGGTTGGACCTTCTTCCGTGGAGACGGTTTTACAGTTTMCAGGATGCTCTGGCATGGGATTAACATCCTTTAAGCCTTTTTATCTTTTTATTTTTGGGTACTAGGGATTTAACCCAGAGGTGCTTAAGCACTGAGCCATAACCCAGTTCTTTTTTGAGACAGGGTCTCACTGACTTGCTCAGGCCCTCACTAAGTTGATGAGCCTGGCCTCGAACTTGCAGTCCTCCTGCCTCAGCCTCCTGAACCATTGGGATTATAGATGTGCACCACTAYAGCCAGCTAAAGTTTTTTCTTCCTTTTTTGGAGACAGGGTCTGGCTACATTGCCCAGGTTGATGCCTACCCCGGATACTGAGCAGTGGATTGCAGGCCTGGGCCGCTGTGCCTGCTCAATGACAGCTCACCAGCTATTCCACCTTTTATCTTTCACCATCACCATATTTTTAGACAATACCAACTACCTGAGACTAACAAACCCCACCTAAGGAAAAGCCTGATTCCCACAAGGCAAGGCCCAGGTGCACACATTGAGAAGTCTGTTGCCACGCCACACTGGATGCACCAGAAGAGGGAGGGAAGGAAGGATGCTCAGGGCATGCCCTGTGCGAGGGTGTCCAGGTGAGAACCATGCCCCCCAAGAYAAAACAGTCACAAGTGAACACCAACACAAAGTGTGTTCAACATCAGCTGAGAAAAAGAAGGGAAAAGTACCCTTTCTCCCACCATCATGCTGACTTGCTGACATAGCTCAAAACAAGAGAGAAATGCTATCTGGACAATGACAGGACTTGGTACCCACTTCTGTCCCCATTAACCCACCCTGGGTGGCATCCTACCGTTCAGCCAGCTCCCAATCCTCCTGGATCTGCTTCTGCCGGGCTCGGTGGTACTCCTCCCTCCAGCACTTGGAGCAGAAGCCCTGCCAGGCAGGGTTGCCGTAATAGCCACATCCCTTCTTGCACAGGAGTTCCGACTGGTCCACATGAATTCCTCGGCGCTCTGACTTGAGGCTCATCTTCTTCCTGCCAACCATGGAACAAATGAGAAAGTGTAAAGAGGAATTCACGGTCAGCCTATAACTAAAAGCATTTATGAATGTGGGTGAGTCCATGATCTTCAAGCTATATGGGAAGGAAGAAGGGAAGGAGGGAAAAGAGGAAAGGAAGAAAGGGATTGGGGAAAAAAGAAAAGTTAAATACAGCAAATTCCCAAACATATGATCTCATTCCCCGCCCAAAGTATAAACAACACTTTAGGACTAGATTAAAGACCTAAACCTAAGACCAGAAACTATAGAACTCCTGGAAGAAAATACAGGGAAATCCACCTGAAACTGGACGTGGTAATGCTCTCTTACACAAGACACCAAAAACAAAACAGACAAGAGAGACTGTGTCCAAAACTTTTGGCTGGGTGCAGTGTATAATTCCAGCAGCTCAGGAAGCTGAGGCAGGAGGATCGCCAAGTTCGAGGCCAGCCTCAGCGACCTAGCAAGGCCCTAAGCAACTTAGTGAGACCCTGTCTCAAAATAAAACATTAAAAAAGGACTGGTGAAGTGGCTCAGTGGTTAAGCACCTCTGGGGTCAAGCCTCATTATCAGAACAAAAAAAAAAGTGTGTGGGGGGGGACTTCTGCACGCCAAAGAAAACTATAAACAAGTAAAAAGGTAACTTAGAGCTGGGAGGAGGAGAGGTCTGCAAGGCAGGTGTCTGACAAGGGATTAAGCTGTCTCCCACAGCTCCATAACCAACCAAACACCAGATCTTAAAATGGGCAAAGGAGCCAAATAAAAAGTTCTCCAAAGACAGAAATGGTCCAACAAACCTAAGTTACCATCACTAAGCAYTGGTGACACCTCACACCTCACCTTTTAGGACAAACACCCCCAACAGCCCTCAGGAGACCAGTGTGGTGAGAATGTGGAGAAATGGCGTGCGTGTGCACTGCTGGGGAATTCCAAGTGCAAGGCCTCTGCAGAAAACAGCGGGTCCTTCCTCAGAACACGAAGGCCAGGCTGGGCACAGGGGCAAGCACCTGAGCCCAGCTACTTGGCAGGCTGCGGGAGGAGGACACCTGCGCCCAGGCGGTTGTGGCCAGGCTGGGCAACACAGCAAGACCCAGCTCTGAAGACCACCAGGCAGTTCAGCAATCCCGCTCCCAGGCTATCTGGAAGACCCCAGGAGCTGCAGGAGGCTCATGCCCACAGCAGTCAGGAGCAGCAGCACCTGGGGGACGCCAGGTGACAGAACACACAGGGCAGCACCACGCAGCCCAGGAGGAGACCTCGCCCTGTGCCAGAGCTGGGCGAACCTGGAGGGTGTAGTGCTAAATCAAGTGACCGGTACAAAGGCCATCCACATATGGGAGGTCTCAGAGAGCGCAGCGGTGGCTGCAGGCTGGGAGGCAGCAAGGCAAGGCGGGCACTCAGTCCTGCTGCAGGAAGGGTTCAGAGACCTACATCACGGGGTGCGCGCGCGGTGTGAGCCACATTGCAGGTGGAAACCCAGTGAGAGGGAATCTCCCTGTTCTTCACAAGAAAAACCCACTGCAAATGATCTTTTAAAGGAAAGAACTGATAGATCGCTGTCAGCTGCTAACGAAAGAAACTTGTATGCTTCGACTCTGAGGGACAAAGCGCAGTCCCCCCCCGCCCCCCCACCCCGCACCCACTGACAGCACCCTTGGCACAGCATGCCGCCYAGCGCGGGACAACCTCCTGTCACTCCTCAGCGTGAACGCTGCCTGGCTGAAGTCGCCCAGCACACCAGAGAAGAGCGTGAGTTAAAAAGGCGGCAGCCTCGGGTGAGCACTAGAGCCCACTTTGGCCACCTCTCACCWCATGCCCAGGATGGTGGCAGCAGTTACTCACTGACCCTCACAAAAGCCAAGGTAGGCATTATCGCCATATCATCAGCTGAGAGACCGAGGCTATGAGAAATTTTCAGAAGTACACAGACGCTACCAACAACAAGCAGGAGGGAAGGTTCAGACCCAGATAAGATTCCAAATTCCTGTGCTATACGGTCCGTTTGTCCAAACTCACGTCCCTGGGCACAAACTTCAATTACACCCCAAACAAATCCTGCACATTAGGGCCTCAGCCTAGAATTTCTCCCACAAATTTCTTCAGTTTTTCTCCAAGAACACATTTCAGTTTGTTAGAAAAAACTATTTCTCTATCTTCCACAGGCTTAGGTGAAAGGCACCCTGGGGGGYTCTCGCTCGCAGCCTGGTATGGAGCTGAACACCAATGTGTGCTCTGGATGGCACGTGGGAACAAGCCTGCTTCGCTCTCAGCCTTCCTGTGGATGACCAACAAGCTTCCATTTAGGATCTGACACAGATCTTGGGGCTGATGGTTAYAAAGGTAGAAAGTTGTTTGGATGATACAGAAAAAAAAATTAAAAATGTACCTTGAATTGATGATGAAACCAAGGAAATTTTTAGTTATGATTTTCCTTATTAGATTGTCAACAAAATAATCTGGGTTTTGCAAAGATAATCCCCCACTCCATCCCTCCCTTTTTTTGGTACCAGGGATTGAACCCAGGGTGCTTAACCACTGAGCCACGTCCCCAGCCCTTTTTTACATTTTATTTTGAAACAGAGTCTTGCTGAGTTGATTATGGCCTCACTAAGTTGCTGAGGCAGTCTTTGAACTCACAATCCTCCTGCCTCAGCTTCCCTAGTAGCTGGGATTACAGGCGTGTGCCATGTGCCTAGCTACTATTTCCCAATAGTAGGTTATAACATAACCTACATAACACATAGCACTCTCCTTTGGGAATCAACTGGATCTTACCAATGCTGTTTTATTRATTCATTTTATCAGTCCCTATTTTTTTCTTGCTGTTACCATGCGAGCAGTATCAGGGGGGTGAGCAGGGACCACTGAAGAATTCCTAAAGATGGGGGCCATTTTTCCTCCTCAGACACACAGGAAGAAATAAAACTGATCTTCAGAAAGAAGGAGAAATAGTTGTAGAAAACCTACTTGTGTCATGTACTTAAAAAACCAAAAAAACGAAGGAAACAGCATTCCCATTTTGAAGTTGAGGAAACAAAGCTTATGGGATCAGGTGCTCATCTAGGATCACTCGTGCTGGGGTTATAACTTGAAATCTGAAGTTCCAAACGCAGTGCTTTTCCCTACCCCACCATGTTCTGACTTGTTTGTGCGGAGCCTCACACTTGCGTGGTGAACTGCTCCCCAACTCCCGTTCCCACCGAGACCCYGTGGCCGTCCCTTTCCCTGCACTAATAGGTGCAAGTGGAGCTCCAGAGCCCAGCTCCACCAGCGCTCCGACTCCCTCACCTCGCACTGACCCTGCACACAGCAGAGTCGCCTGCTGGCCCTGACCCTGCTCTCCCAAGCTCAAGGTCACAGGCAGGCAGAAAAGACCCTGAACTGAACCCTGGCAGGTCTTGGAGAGGTGACGTAAGTGACAGGACATCCTGACAGGAAGGACATCTTTCACATAGAGCTCAGAGACAGGAAAGCCAAGTGGAACACGAGTGATGTGGCCTAAGCAGGAGGTGAACAGAGGGTCAGCAGTGCAGCCAGACTGCGAGCTTCCAAACCCAGGCTGAAGAGCCTGGACCTACTGCCTCCCACAAAGAGGAAAGCATGAGGATCGCTCTATTTTAAGATATGAACCTCAAGAGACAAGATGCTGAAACATAAATCTTGAATGTCTCCAAGGGCCCATGGGCCTGTGGCACTACTGGGAGGTGGCAAAACCTTCAGTTGGTAGAGACTGGGGGAAGGACTGAGGTCATTAGGAGTGTGCCTTTGAAGTGTGCCTCTGGGACCCTGGCTGCCCCCCTTTGTTGCTCCCGGCAGCCACACCCTCCTGCCAGCATGTACTACCTTGCCACAGGCCAGCTGACCCTGAACTGAAAACATCCAAACCTGTGAGCCCAAATAAACCTTTCCTTCTTACAAGCTATCTGTCTGGGGCATTCTGTCGCAGTGATGGGACGCTAACTACACATGGAGATCATCTTCCAGCATGATGAAGTGAGGACCAAGAAGCCTCTTCTCAGAGACAACTGTGAAGATGAGTCAAACGCCCTCTGCTCATGACTTGTGTGTGAGCCCAGGAATGCACTCAAACTTGAGGCCCTCAGCCCATTTTTCCTGGGCTCTTCCTCATCTCCTCTGTGTACATACAGCTCTGCTCGTCACATTGGAAGCCTTCCTGGCTAGAGATGTTTGAGCACAAGTTCAATGTTTGTCTGCACAAACAACAAACACTGGCTACACATTAAGGTATTCAGACTCAGGGGTGACCTCGAGAAGAAACAGGCATCAAATGAATAGGGGAGAAAACTGAACATGGACATCAGTGCCTACAGAGAGAGACACAGAGAGAGAGAGAGAGAGAGAGAGAGAGAGAGAGAGAGAGAGAGAGAGAGATAGAGATATTTCACAGACTTAGACCAGCTAGAAAACCTGTAGGGTTTGCTCAAAAGCAAAAAGGAGATGAATTGGGGATAAAGACCAAGTTTCACCAGGGGCTGGGGTTGTGGCTCAGTGGTAGAGCGCTTGCCTAGCATGCCCTGGGTTCGAGCCTCAGCACCACATAAAAATAAAGGCATT